TCATTTCTATGCTAATAACACAGAGGCTCGAAATTAGTTGACACTTTTCATAACAGATAAAAGAGCATCGGTTTCATATATTTGATCACCATACATTTGAACACCAAATGATTCAAACATTTCATTTTATTATAGCACCGATGCATAATGGCTGACATGAAAATATTTACTTTGAACTGTTTTCAAATAGAAAAGGTAGCAATTTGACGTATATCGATCAAATAATGCTTTTTTAAAATCCAATTTGTCTACTAAATTTGCAGCCAGAACCTAAATAAACCGAAATAAAGCAAATATCATTGTAAATAACAAATGTGATAAGACACACGCATCTCGGAAATCACATAATACAGCCAATAACAGTATTCTCAAGGAATTGCGTATGCGCTTGCCACCCATGTACTTGCCAAATTTTGTGTCGTCAGCCTGGACATATCAATTGGACGGATTGACAGCTATCGTTAGCCAGCACTAGTAAAATGGTTTCAAGACAAGAAACTCATCATAGACACCGGCCAACCACTTACCCAATCTAGGGAAAACTCGCACAGCATTTGCTCATAAACAATAACCCTGTAACGATATCTCATGAAACTACCTTCCTCGATCTAACAATTCAAGAAAACTTAAAATGAAATGCTCACATCTCAAAACTTTACAAGAAGCTCGCCAAATCTTGCTACGCCCTCTATACCCTCAGGTCAAACTCCAACACTGAGACACTTCGAACAATTTTTTTTTGCAAATGTGCACTCACACCTAAAATAAGGAATAATATTCTGGGGAAATGCCCCTGAAAGCACTTGCACATTTATTATCCAAAAACTAATATTGCGAACAATGACCAGTACTCATAAGCTGGAGTCTTGCAATCCCTTGTTCAATAAACTAAGGATTCATCCTCTGCCATGCGTGTATATATTTGAAATAGTGGTCTTCACAAAGGAAATTCTCATGGAAAACAAAGACACTTGTACTTTAAATTCTTATGTACACAACTACAACACTCCTTAAAAGGATAACCTACATGTTCCCCACACTGAAACTACACTTTATCAAAAAAGCACCCTAATAGAGAGCATTACACTTTACAACAAACTAGGATGTCATATTAAAGACAAAAACACAATTCATACATTTAAAGTAAATTAAAAGCTTTCTTTCTTAACAATATGTTCTACAGTGTAAAAGAATATTCAAATCACAACAACATTTCCCTTAAAAATATAAATAAATAAGAATTTCTTATCCCAGCTAATCCCAGTCTTATGGTAGTCTAATGACTGATGACTATCTTATCCCAGTCTAATGACTAGCTGTTTCATATTAATTATTTCGAGCTGAAGCAAAGAAAAAAGAACTGACAAATCGCATCCTGTGACGTAGAAGGAGAATGCCTGACAGAAACAAAAAATCCTGTTTTTCTCTGAATTCGCTTGACGCATTAGGTGCTGCAGTAGGACTATGTGTACAAATTGAAAGAAGAAGAAAACAAGAAAAAAAACTGGTCAAGACTTGCTGGTCTGTTCCTCACTATTTCAAGTTTTAAATATAGGATGTACTAATATTGTTAAATTTTATGTAGCTGCTAATAGAATTCATATGTATTGCTTTATTATTATTATTATTATTATTATTATTATTATTATTATTATTATTATTATTATTATTATCTATATTGCGATATATTCAAAGTTGCGTCTGGCACGGTTCCATCCAATCGGGACTTTAAACGTTAACTTAACTTAACCTTAAACTTAAACTACAGTAACGTCCCATGGTGGCGTTCAACATTCCAATTGGATGACTCCAAAACACATGCTTTACGACAGAGACAACTGTGAATAGTATAACGGCGGTTATTACAATGCATCTGGCAACCCTGCAATATCAAGTAAGTGAGTTTGGTCTAGTCCGTATCTATTCTTGTATTTTTATTTTTTGGCGCGCGAGGTCTTGTATTCACGAATCTCACCATATTTTGCCTTTTTTCCGGTCGTACTGCTAGATGTCGCATGATCGCTAGCGCTGCCACAGCCGACTATTACTTGTAGTACATGGAATATAATACTAGTCGCGCGCCTTTTCACTTTGTCTCGCAGCGCAAGGTGAGGGGAGAGGAAGATAATGTTCACGTCACATGAGTTGGGTGTTGCCAACTGCATCATTATTAATACTATTTGCACCTCTTTCGCTTTTAATACAATAGGACACGAAGGTTGCCTTTTATGTTTCGGGATTTGGCAACCCTGGTGTTGCAATCTGGCAACTGACAGCTGTATCGTAAAGTTGGATGTTTTGAGGTTATGCGTTCTCAGAGCGTTTTGACATACGAACGCAATTTGTGTAGTTTACAGAAACTTAAAAGATTCATCTTGGCCCAAAAATGGAATTAAATCGTGAACATTTTCTTGCGCTTATTTTTAACAACTTTCGACGTGGATTAACTCAGCAACAGTGCATGGATGAACTTAATTCAATTTTTGGCGATGAAGCTCCATCAAGGCCCAGTGTTTATCGATGGTATGGTGAATTCAATCGTGGTCGTAGTTCACTCCAAGACGAATTTCGCGAAGGTCGTCCAAAATCAGTTGTTGTTCCGAAAACCATTGATTCTGTGCGTGAACTGATATTGCAAGATCGTCATGTGACCTATCGTGATATTGAGACAAACTTAGGCATTAGTGGAACCAGCATACATTCAATATTGCATGGACATTTGACTATCAAAAAAAATTGTTCGCGTTGGATTTCACACGATTTGTCAATCGCTCAGAAAAGGCTCGTGTCGATTGGTCGAAAGAAATGCTCAAAAAATACGATCGCGGTGCTTCGAAACACATCTATGACATCGTGACAGGTGATGAATCGTAGATTTACGCGTATGAGCCCGAAAGTCGCAGCTGTCGACTGTATGGGTGTTTCAAGATGAGCAAAATCCAACAAAAATTGTTCGCGCACGAAGCACTTTCAAACAGATGGTCGCCTGTTTTTCGGAAAAACTGAACATGTCGCAACCGTACCACTAGAACAAAGCAGAACAGTCAATCCTGAGTGGTACACAACGATGTTTGCCAGCAGTCTTCCAATAAATCAGGAAACCCAACCGCCGAAGACGGATCACTCTTCACCACGACAATGCGAGCTCTCACACATCGGCCTCAAACAACTGCATTTTTTGAGCACCCAAAAAACATCGATTTGAATGAGTCATACGCGCAATAGTCGTGACTGGCACCGAGTGACTTCTTTTTATTCCCGCAGCGTTAAAAAAAACCCTGAGAGGTCAACGTTTTATGGACACCTAAAGCGGTTGCTGCATTCAGAATGCATGTTTTGGAAGATAACCTCAATTAGAGTGGCAAAAGTGCTTCGACAAATTGGTCCCAACAACGCCTGCAAAAAAATATAGATCTTCATGGGGAATATTTTGAAAAAATAAATAAATAAAGTGATTTTCGATTATTAATATTTGTTTTTGTTCTCTAATCCTGAAATTTAAAAGGCAACCCTCGTATTATAGACGATAAAATAGACCAAAATTCGAATCGTAAAGCCAAGAGGGAAGCAAAATATCGTCGTATAAAATAGCAAATAAATGATAGCACCGCAAAGAACAGCGAAAACGCAAGAACCGGATTCATTTGAAGGCAGCTCTGATAACCAGACCGAGCTGAGTCGTGCTGGGTTGAGCTCATACGTCAAGAAAATTCGCACGACTCTACTACGATTTATGCAACCCTGCCCTCGGCAAGTATCAGCTGTTGACGTTTTCATCCAATCGGGAGCTTAAATCGTGACTTCACTATGGATGACTGTCAACAGCTGATACCTGCTAGGGACAAGGTTGTAAAAATTGCAGCGTAGTAGATAGCTGTGGCACTGCTCGCTACGTCGCGATCATGCAACATCTACATGCACGAGAGGCGAGATTCAACTCTACTCTACGCATGACTGAGAAATATGTGAAATACCCTAATATATACTAGGATTTATTGCACTTACAATCACTTGACGTAAATCAGCTGTCCACGGTCTCATCCAATCGCGAGCATGAACGTCCCCATATCGATGTCATTGTAGCGACATATAATCATCCGATTAGATGAAACCTCAACAGCTGATTTACGTCAAGTACACGATTGAATAACTCGTATTCCATCATGAAGTCAAGGCCTCGCACGCCCAGAAATAAAAACTTAAGTGTAGTCCAGGATCCTGCAACTTTCTATCAAATCCGGAGACAAAGCTCCAGGGTGCTACCTTAATGGCGCTAGTGCAGCTGCAGGTTAGGCTCGCCAACTTTCCCACATACAAATTGGCTAATTTGTGAGAAATACGAAAAGTGTCTTCGTAATGTTCAATTATTCATAATCTATACTTATAAGAAACCTATAAAGAAAGAGCGAATATAAGACGTTATATTTTGTAACATTATGGGCCTGCTTGCGACCCGCGAACTCACTCAGCAGCCACGCACGTTCAAAGTATCGTTGGGAGCAGTTCATGTTTTAGAAGGTGATGTCAGAGAGTATTTTACTGGGTGATGCTGCAGAGCGCGCCACCATAATAGTTTCCATCTCGTTCTATGGTGTTATATGGGGGATGTGGGTCCCTGGTGTAGTCCGTATCAGTGGGGTGACACTAGATAGGGCACATCCGGTCCTTATTCAAATTCCATACAGTAGCCAATCAGAGTTCAGAGCGACGCCATATACATCTGTACAACACTAACTCGCTCAAGCGGAGAATCGGTGAACTTTTTCATTTTGAAATTTTTCGCAAACGAGCCGGTTGGTTACCGTTGGATTCCTTCCTCGTCGACCTATGGTCATATATTCACGTGCTGTTCGTAGGTCTGTTAACGCCATATCGCAGTCAGTGAATTAGAGAAATGAAGTGATTTACGGCTGTTTGAAGTCTGAAGCGTCATTTTGGCTTCGAGGAAGATATGGGTGCGTAACAAATAGTGATTTTTTAATGTACATGTTCAGTTGCAGATCCTTGTTTGGACTAAGCGAGGTGACACCCACTGCAGCTATGGGTGTAATGGTAAGATTTTTAAAAGAATTATTACTAGAATATAGTTTTAATAGAATATATTTTTATAGTTTTAATATAATATATTTTGATGGGAGACTATTGTGACGTAAAGAAATGAGAATATAAATTCAATACAAAATAAAAATGTATATTAAAAGATTATGAGCAAGTTACATAAATTGCTAATATTAAACACACCGACAACCCTTTCGTTCAGTACCCTGCTTTAACAGCAGAAAAAATAAGTCACGCGTGGATGCGAGCTGTCGGATTTCCGTCCCGTGACAATTCCGTCGTACATGGCTGACGCCAAAATTTAAACGGGTCGTGGCGACCGTGTGCCTACAGCACGCGAGATCGTCTGGCCTTACTCTCCCGACATCTCGCCTACAATCCTACACTCCTTTACTTACACGTACAACGCTCCCGATGTAAACTGAATGAGAACGCGGGCGCAGATGGCGCCGCGTTAAAATAGTGAGGCTGACCCCCCCCCACCACTGTTCATATATAGGGCTCGCTCCTGTCGGCAAACGAGGGCTCGCTGGCTAGCATCTTGGGAGGTTTCTACGCCCCACACAACAGATTCCCCAGTTTGCTCGCCTGCTGTCGGCAAGCGAGGCTCGCTGACTAGCATCCTAGGAGTTTAAACCTAAGGTAATTTTTGGGCTCTGCAGCTCTCACTAAGTCACCGCCAGAGCGCAAACTCCCGGAAGTTCAGGCTCAACCCTTTCTCCCCCGCAGCGCACTTTCACCGACCTAACGTTCTGGAACCTCGTGTAACGGCGCACAGACTCTCCATGCTCGGGGGTAGAATTTTTTTTCGCAGCAAAATGTCACAGGAAAAAGAAAATCTGCTAATTAACCTGGTGTTGACCTCACATTCTAAATTTTTACGTTAAACAATCAGAAAAAGTACAAAAACCAAAACCTGTCTAAAATACAAAAAATAAATCTATGTGCTGGCCCTCTTCTTAGCTATGTGCATTTACCTTAATTACTATACACGTGTGAACAGACACAATTTTTTGACATACAACTTGAAAATTCTTTAATTACATAATAAATACCCTTTTATATACAAATCGTGGTCCATGATAGCTCTTGAAGTACAAATTAATCTGAAAATAAGTCAATATAATTCCTGGTATATACAATTACAAAATCATGGACTACATCATATTGCCGCATAGACTAGATTTTTCGGCGCAGTATCGCATCTACATATGAAAACAATACACACAACAAAAAGATGAATACCCTTGAATTGATACAATTTATTTACATCAAATTTTCAACGACATTTATACAGTGTCACGAACGTGTGAGTTCTCTACACCTGTTCAGAGATCCAATCTCAATTCGTTCTCACATGCGACAAAGCGATCGGACAATTTACTGTTCTCAGACCCTTTTTGTGTATATTCTTAGTCAAGGTGCTGAATAATACAAGAACAGCTAACTAATCTGGGATTTTTGGCCGCCATGTTACAACGCAACTAGGGGATGTGGTCAGTTTCAATTTGAATCCGTCGGCCTGCCCGCGAAGATATAATTGAGTTTGTCTAAGCCCGAAATTAGAGCACAATCTCGACTATCTGCCGTCCCATTATTGGATTCAGCCTAAATTTAATTTACGTCTCAACAATACTACCGTTGTTCACTACCTTCGTCATCTCATTTGGATAAAGAACTACACCACTATAGCTCTCCTCGATAGCATCAAGCCGAATTCTGATTCCTTAGAATAATCCGTGCATACACCACTGTCTTTTCACAGAGCGCCTGCCGCAGCTCATGTAAAGAACCCTCACATGCCACCGTCCATAGCAATTTGCTTGGCGCTCACGCCCCCGCAGCGGCATCTGTCAGTGCCGCCGCTTTGTCCGGAAACCCGGTATCAATTCGACCAATCCGAGTAGCGAAACGCAGCCTGTTTTTTTGACTCGGGTCTGGGAAAGTTCTGAAAAGCCTGAACATTGGCCTCGGCTGGCCGCAATTTTCCCGTTCCCGGAACTACATAGCCTAGAGTACTTCACGTCAAGCGCGCGCAAAACAAACACTTGCGTGGCTGTACCGTTAATTTGGCAGATTTCAATTTGGAAACTGTCTCCAGATGCCGTATGTTGCTCAGACCACGAATTGCTAAAGCACAGCGATATGTCGAGGTACGGCACTGCGAATTTCTGACATTTTTTAGTAAAGTGCCCATAAATCTTACAGGCATTGATAAGGGCCGTTTTTTTTATCCCAACAGGCACCTAAGCGGCGCGGTACGTGCGAAACTGGTCCGAACGCCGATACACTCTGCGCCCTATCCATAAGACCTATTTGCCATAGCACTTACTCAGATGCTAATACACTAATGATTTAGCTGCTGCTACCTGTTCAATACCGTTCTTCCAGAATTTGGCAAAGGAAAATATTCAGGTTTTGATAATCTGATTGAGGCGCCTAAATAAATCAGGGCCTCGGTTCTTTCCCAGTGCCTCAAGTAAAATCATGGAGACGTGAAATCGCTTTCCGCCTCCACAATGATAATTGTCCACGAAGCATTTTCTCTACGCTCTTCCCCAGTATCTTTGTCCTGTCTCGGCGGCACTGCGGTAGGGTACACTGCGAACAACTTTTATTAGTGTCCGGGTCAGTTCAATATCCATGGTAGTAATATCGGTTAAACCAGGCTTTTCACTAAAGATGCACCCTGTCCCTACAAATGACTTTTTGAGTTGCGTCACGGAACTCGGGTTTCAACCTCCGTACCGTTGAGATTTGCGCGTCGCCGTCAAAAAGTCGTCGGAATCTAACCTCAACGCGGTAGTGGTCTAACGCGTCTTCCTCACCTGCGGCTGAAGACCGTCGGCAGAACCGGAGAAAATTCACGTATTCGTACGCTGGCGGTACGTTTTCAATCATGTTGGATGTGATATACCGTGGTTTTTCTTTCCGCCTGGCATCTGTACTGACATAGTTGTGTTCCGACATTTATCGCGAACCTCGCCCGGCCGCTATCCTCTGCACAGCGAGTTTTTCCGCGTTTTGTTAGGCGGCCAGAACCAGCACCTTCGCGCCTATCTGCAAACTGCGGCGAGACCGCCTTCCGTCATACCACACCTTACGCTTTTTGTTCTTCTTCCGCCATTTTTTGCATGAGCGAGTTCCACGGCGACCGCTTTCACTCGATTTATAAGTTTGAAAACGAGCTCACTATCGACTACCTTGCTTCCATCTGCCCGGCCGCAAGTTTTCTCGTAAAGAAGCGTTCATGGGTGTGCGGAGATTTTTCCATATACTACTCAGCTGGGGAAAATCCTAATATATTCGTGTACGCTAGTAACGTAAAGCGAACATAAATCGCAGGGAGCTGGCTCTCCCAATCCGTTCCCAGCTTCTAAACAAAGCACCTTCATTAAGCGATTCATGGTCTGGCATCCGTTCTACGGCATTTGATTGCGGATGGTAAGGGCGAACTCCTAATTAATCTGACATGCAGAATCTTTCGGCGATTTCCGCCATCAGAAGTCTTGTGAACAAGTTCTTGCATCTGCGCCTTTGAAGCTCTCGCGGAAATCCAATCTGACTGAACAAATCTAATAACGCTCATTCTGTGCCGTCGTCAGATCCAACGTATGGGAATAGCCTCAGGATATTTCCTGGCTAGACACATTGGCTGTGGTATGAACTTATTTCCTGACTCAGACCCTCTGGAAAATGGGCCACACGGCGTCGACATTTACTTTCTCGATACGCCTCGCCCGTTATTGGTACAATTTTCCAGGTGCCTCGAAGTTTCTCGGCCGCCGTTACCTACCGTTGGCAACTATCGGCAGCTGCGCCCGGAAATTTTCCATATCTTTATAACAGTTGGGCAAAAGAAATACTTGGGCCAATCGCGTCTTTGCTCTTCGTAACCCTAAATAGCCGTGGGCAACTTATGGCGAGTTTCAAATATCGTGCGTGCCACGATACCACGCGGAGTCACTAGCATGGGAGAATCTCACCGCGCTTGCTTTGCCGTTTGTTCCGGAACAATAGGCCGCGTTCTATAAAAATAATAGCGCATTTCGGCCTCCGTGCCTTCGCGCTCGCTCTATTACGGTGTGAGCTCTTCAATCCTGCCTCTGAGCTTTTACAAATTCGGCCGGGTCTAAACGGGCCAAAGCCAACACACATGAATCTACTTCAACTTCGCGGTCGTTTACACTGCGTTGTTGCCCTTGGTTTCGTCACCCCTATGGCCCTGAAAAGACACTGTTTTCCTTGTTCTCGTCCGGCTCCCGGGCTGCGTCCCGCTCCGCGCGGTGTCTGCAAGCATCGCCTTGCTTAACCGCCCACCCCGTTTGCCTCGTCCCTGACCAAAGGTGCGTCACCTGGCGCCGCCCTCACCTCACCTGCCACCGTCGGGCTGTTTTTCCGCTGCCGCCTGAGCTCGGGTCGCTTACAGCAGCAAAGAAACTGCGGTTCTAAGACCCTTGCCCTTCATTTCGACAGAACATCGTGGCAGACGCGATTGCTTAAAATGTAGTATTCTAATCGCAATTTTTCGCGACTGCGGCCTCGGTAACAAGCTTCCCCGAACGGACTTAAAATTTCAACTCTTGGCCACCGGTAGATTTCTCTGGGCGCCTCGGTCCAGGGGCTGCTTAACCATATGCGAACTCGCCTGTATATTGATTAGCCATGACGTGCTTTGCGTTGATTAGATCTACGCAGCACCAGTATCCACGAAGAATGGTAATGCTATTTCCGCAAACCGTGCCGTACAATACGTGTGAGGTAGCAACAATTCCCTGCGCACTGTCAAGGTTAACCACGTGCCACACATTTCTCGCTTTGTTTTAAGGCTGAGGGCAATATTCTTTATGTGCCCCGGTTTTTTACACAAATAGCACGTGCGTTTCTGCGGTTTGTCAAATTCCCGGCATTTATCTACTTTAGGCGCTGCGGTTTAGAAGTGACGGCCACGGCTTTTCCCGTTGCCTTCTTCCATTTCTGCTCCCCCCACAAGC